AGGTACCCGAAGACTCTTTCCTTGGGCCACTCCTCTTCTCTCTCTATACCTTTTCCCTGGGCCAGTTGATAACCTCCTAATACCACCTCTATGCTAATGACACTCAAAGCTATCTCTTGACTCCTTAACTCACCCCCTCGATCTCCTTACATATCACAAATTTACTGCGTGACATATCCGTATGCATGTCACACCACTTCCTCAGACTCAATCTTTCTAAAACTGAGCTTGTAATATTTCCTCCTCCCTGATCCCTTCCCCATGACTTTACCATTGAGATCAAGGGTACACACCCATTGGTCCCTCCACACACGCTAGGGTGCTAGGCGTAATCCTAGACTCTGACCTCTCCTTCAGCCCCAACATTCATTCACTGGCTAAATCTTGCCACCTCAACCTCTGCAACATTTCCAGAATTTGCCTCTTCCTGACTAATGACACCATAAAAAACAACTTATTCACTCCTTGGTTATTTTCCACCTTGACTACTTCACTAGCCTACCATTACACAGGCTATCCCCTTCTTCAGTCTATTATGAATGCTGCTGCTAGACCACTTGCCTGCAAGTGTTTTAATAAATTTCTGCCTTATAGTAGGCTCACACAGAAACAAAAGTAATGGAAGAGTTTCTAGAAGTGCTATTTTGTCCAGAGGTTTATGTGTGTCTGTAAGACTACTACTTATGGCACAGTAATTACATCATATTTTGTGGATTCAGCTTCAAACGTGCATTGGACACAAGTGTGTAGATTTAGATTCCCCCCCCCCCCCCCCCGCTTTAAGGTACAGCTTTTATTCAGAGAAATGTAACAATGTAATCACGCTTTTGTGTGTGCTAAGCCATTCCACTCATGCCACATCTCGCCCCCACGTTAATTACCAGGTTGGGTGCTTTGGGCAAGTTGTTAATATTTTGCTCCTCAACACGTTGCAAGATATGTTTATATACCCAAAAGTTTGTGGACACCTGCCCATGACACCTACACTATAGAGCCAAAATTATGTGAACACCCATTACTATTTAGTTAATTTCCAAAGAAAGATTCTGTTCATGCGCCACCAGTCAGTGGTGTATTTAGGATTTGTGCTGCCCTAGGCAACATAAAAATTGGCCTGACACCGAACAACACCCCCATGCAGAGAGAGACTTACACCGATCAACACACAACCCCCCCCCACTGCAGAGAGAGATTGACACTGACCAACACCACACCCCTTGCAGAGAGAGCCTGACACCGATCAACACCCCTCCCCACCGCGGAGAGAGATTGACACCGACCAACACCAACCCCCCTTGCAGAGACTGCCTGACACCAACCAACACCACCCCCCTGTGGAGAGAGACTGACACCGACCAACACCCCCCCCTCCCCCCCACGGAGAGAGACTGACATCGACCAACACCATCACCATTCCCCCCCACAGAGAAAGACTGGCACCGACCAACACCACCTTCCACTACCATTGCCCGCCCCGTACACCAGCCGCCCCCCCCGGCAAGAGAAAGAAAGACACTCACTTTCACAGCTCCGAACATCTCCGGGAACGAGAGTCGGGCTCTGCATACATCATCAAGCAGCCTGCAGTCTCTCTCGGATCCCACATGGTCCCCATGCCACGTGTGTCCCTTCTCTCAGCAGTGCTGCCCCCCCCCTGAAAAAATGCCACCCTAGGCAAATACCTTGTTTGCCTTGTGGTAAATACGCCCCTGGCTCCAGTATAAAAAAAAGACATTTTATACAAGTGTGCACTTCCAACCTTATTGTAACAGTTTGGGGAAAGAAATTTTCTATTTCAGCATGGCTGTGCCCCTGTGCACAAAGTCACTTAAATCAAGATATAGCTTGATGAGTTTGGTGTGGAAGGACTTAGTTGGCCTTCACAGAGCTTTGATCATCTGATTGATTGTCTATCTGCCCACATGTGGCAGTGTTAAAGCAGTCACCAACAACCAGCCTTGACAAATGACAGGGCAGCACAGTGGCTAAGTGGTTAGCACTTCCACCTTACAGCACTAGGGTCATTGATTTGAATCCCAACCATGGTACTACCTGCACAGAATTTACATGTTGACCTTGTGCCTGCATGGGTTTCCTGCAGGCACTCTGGTTTTCTCCCACACTCCAAAGACATACTGGTAGGTTAATTGGCTCCTGTTTAAACTGGCCCTAGTATGTGTATGTATGAATGTGAGTTAAGGATCTTAGATCCTAGAATTACTTGAGGGTTAGGGACAGATGTGAATATACCATACATACACTCACTGGCCACTTTATTTGGTATACCTGTTCAATTGCTTGGTAACACAAATTGCTATTCAGCCAATCACATGGCAGCAACTCAGTGCTTTTCAGCATCTAGACGCGGTGAAGATGACTTGCTGAAGTTCAAACTGAGCATCAGAATAGAGAAGAAAGGGAATTTAAGTGACTTTGAACATGGCATGGTTGTTGGTTGCAAACAGGCTGGTCTGAGTATTTCAAAAACTGTTGATCTACTGGGATTTTCACACACAACCATCTCTAGGGTTTACAGAAAATGGTCTGGAAAAGAGAAAATATCCAGTGAGCGACAGTTTTGTGGACAAAAATGCCTTGTTGATAACAGAGGTAAGAGAAGAATGGATAGACTGGTTCGAAATGACAGAAAGGCAACAGAACCTTGAAGCAGATGGGCTACAGCAGCAGAGGACCACACCGGATGCCACTCCTGTCAGCTAAGAAAAGGAAACAGAGGCTACAATTTGCACAGGCTAACCAAAATTGCACAGTAGAAGATTGGAAAAACATTGCCTGGTCTGATGAGTCTCGATTCTCCTAGAGATGGATATGCATAAAAATCCTAGTAGATCCTCAGTTTTTGAAATGCTCAGACCAACCTGTCTAGTACCAACAACCATGCCATATTCAAATTCACTTAAATCCCCTTTCATGCCTGATGCTCATTTTGAACTTCACAAGTCGTCTTCACCACATCTAGATGCCTAAATGCATTGAGTTGCTGCCATGTGATTGGCTGACTAGCAATTTGTGTTACCAAGCATTTGGAAAGGTGTAACTAATAAAGTGGCCGGTGAGTGTATGTCAGTATGTAAGTGCTGTGTAAAATTGATGGTGCTATATAAGTACCTGTAATAATAATAATGACAAGAAGGGGAGTGAGTCACATGCTCCCCAAAACCTTGAAGTACAAGATATTACTCTTCACCCCCAATGCCTGAATGGCTAAGCCCCCCCTAAGCTGTATGGACATATAGAACCAGCAAAGGCAAACAATATTTCTTACTTTTTCTGGTGAATAAATATATACCCAGTCATAAAGGTTTCACAACAGTTAATGTCTTATCATCATAGAAACTTGCCTAGTATATTATCGATTATAGTGTATATACTTTTTTGAATATTTTCCACTTATTCATAAAGTGATGTGGACATGTAGCATACATCCATCATTTTCAGACGTAAAGTCATTTATCGGCAGATCATACCTGCCTGTGCTATACTGCCATTTCATGTTTATTTATGATGATGAGTTATGTGGCACCAGACCAGCTACATTTCATTATATGATATTAATTATCATTCTTTCACTGTCAGGTTTTACAAAAGACAATAAGGAATTAAAGTCAGTAAATCAGCCATTGGCTTTCTGATCACAGTAGACACTGTGAGAGAGCTCAGAGGGTTAGGTCTTGACTATATTAAAATTGGACAAAAATGCATTACTACATAATGAATGCTGGAAAGATGTTGGCACAAATCTCTTTCATATGTTCTGGGTGGCCATATGTAAATGCAAGCAACGCAAAGGAACTGAGTTTCTTGCCAGGGCTGCTTTAAGACATAAAGAAGCTGAGACAAAGATCTCATTAGAACCTTTATTTATTAGGATATTCTGCATTTGGGAACAGGACGTGAATGTTGTCTTGGATGTAGTTTGATAGTGTAATTTGGGACATTTGGCCCTATTTAAGTGTTATTTTTTTAAGTATTAGTTTTTATTGTAATGTTGTAATCTAAAGCAACTGACCAGAAACCATCTTGTTTTTGGCTGACTTTGGCAGAATAAATTCTAATTGTTTGCTGTACTCAGCACAAATCTGAACTCCAGGCAAACACACTAAATACACAGAAGAAATACATATATGGGAGCTGTTATACCTGTCAAAGTATTTGTATTTATATTCAAAGGTATACCACACAGCCCTGTTTGGCATGGCAGAAGACCTGATTTTTTTATCTGCTGTAGTTAAGTAACACTTATAGTTCTTGTCCCTTGGCTAGAGATGTAAACTTTCTGGAAATTTTGGAGCCGTAAAAAAAAAAACATTTTTGAAGTCTCAGAAAACTTTCATTGAGGTCTTCATGTTATATAGTTTGAATACCATGTCATAAATATATTATTTATCATTGCAAAATAACATATTCCACACTCCTTTTCTTCAGTTTTTCCAGGAGGAAAAAACTAAGCAAAAAACAGCTTTGGAAAATAACAAAAAAAATGGAGAAAAAACAATTTGAATCCCAATTTTAACATTATTTTCCAGGCCTTCCTATCTAGTGTCCCATTGCCTGTGGCCGAAAAGTGAAAAGAGAAGCAGCAGATCGATGAGTTTAATGCAACCCGGCAGATTTGATCCCTGTGCTGCTTCTCCTGCTCCCAGACTGAGCTTTGATCTACTGGGTACTGCAAGAGGATGATACCAGGTCATATTTAGGTACTCATACAACACATCAAAAAATACCATACATTCAATCATGTATTAATAAATACAGAGCAGCATTAAAGTGTGTTTAGATTTATTTGGAAACTCACAATATTTTCAGTCAGTCATCATTTTTGCTTACATTTTTTATTTATAGCATATAGAGATGAGCGAATTACTCAAAAATTGGATTCGGCTGATTCGGCGAATTCGCGGAATAAATTTGATTCGAGACGAATATATTTGCTGCGAATTTAACTTATAAAAAGGGTGTTTCTAGGCTTCAGAGAGCCTTTATATTAGTGCAGAACACTGTACCTTTAATTTAAATGCCCTTGGAGTCTGCTGGGGAAGAGAAATAATACTGTCAGTCAGTATGACATGCAGATGAGTGCCGTCGATCTTAGAATCACCGCACACTTCACTCATTTGGGCAGTCACGGGGCCAAAACCAGAGTGTGGAGCCACAGTGTGGCGGTGGAGGCAGCAGCAATGGGAGGCCATACAGCACCCTATGAAAAAATGGAACCCACCAGCAGTGTGAGGAGACCTGAAAGTGGCACATGGCAGAGTGTGGCGATGGAGACAGCAGCAATGGGAGGCCGTACAGGGACCCATGACACACTCTGGACCTGGCAGCAGCATGAGGAGGCGGTACAGGGGCCCATGACAGATTACGGGCCTGGCAGCAGCATGAGGAGTCGGTACGGGGGCCCATGGCAGATTACGGGCCTGGCAGCAGCAATGGGAGGCCATACAGCACCCTATGACAAAATGGAACCCACCAGCAGTGTGAGGAGACCTGAAAGTGGCACATGGCAGAGTGTGGCGATGGAGACAGCAGCAATGGGAGGCCGTACAGGGACCCATGACACACTCTGGACCTGGCAGCAGCAAGAGGAGGCGGTACAGGGGCCCATGGCAGAGTGGCGAAGCGTAAGCAGCTTAAATTGAAGGCCATACAGAGGCCTATGTTAAAAATAATAACATGTTTGGGGCATGATTCATGGCGGATTTAGTCAGTTGTGTCAGGAACTGGTGGTTTGAAATCCAGACTAATCCACGCCTGATTCATTTTCACAAACGTGAGTCTCTCCACACTTTTTGGGTGGACAGTCCCCGTGTCCTCCGCGGAGTTACAATACCTCCTGCCGCACTAAACACGCGCTCCGATGCCACGCTACTGGCCGGGCATGACAGCCTTTCAAGGGCAAATTCAGCTAGTTGGGGCCAAAGGTCAAGTTTCGTTGCCCAGTAGTCAAGGGGATTGTCTACCTCGGTTGGCAGGGTGCTGTCCAAGTAGGCCCGAGCCTGTTGTTTGAGGTCCTGCTCAGGTCCACCTGATGCTGCTGCTGCTGCGGCTGGTTAGTAGTTTCCTCACTGCGCTGGTGAAGAAAGCTACTCATCATCGACTGCAGACTGAGGCAGCCGCTGCTGGTGGAGCTGCCACTGCTCCTACCACCCCACCCCTCCCCTGCTGCCATGGCAGCGGAACGTGAGCGCACAGGGCCCACAGTGTCTGAGGATGGACGTTGGCGCAGAAAGGCAGAGACCAACTGACTACATAGGTGGTTTTTATAGTACTTTATTTTGGCCTCCCTCTCAGCAGGTGTGAAAAAGGCCACCATTTTTGAACGGTAGCGAGGGTCCAACAAGGTGGACAGCCAAAAGTCATCCCTCTGTCTGATGGTTATTATTCGGCTGTCGCTACGCAAGCAACCGAGCATGCTATGGGCCATTTGTGCCAAGGAATGCGAGGGACTCCCTGCCTCCATCTCCACAGCATACTGCCACGGTGCGTCTGGGTCCTCTGTCTCCTCCTCCTCCTCCTCTACCAGATGCTCCTGCTCCTCCACTCCTGTCTGCTGAGTGGAAAAACCACCCATTTCACTCAATAATTCCTGAGCACCAATGTCCTCCTCTACCTCTTCCTCTTCTTCCTGTCCTGCCCCCACAGGGGTCATGTGGCGTTGAGATCTGTGCGCCACGTCTACCGCACCCTGACCAGCCATTGTTAACAGCATTTGTTCCAGGACGTGCAACAGAGGAATGACGTCGTTCATCCCATAGTCCTGCCGACTCACGAATAGCGTGGCCTCCTCAAAGGGCCTGAGCAAGCGGCAGGTGTCACGCATGAGCTGCCAATGGCTGACATCTAAGTTACACAGGGGAGTACCTTTATCCGCTTGTAACATCAGGAAATCGGTGATGGCCTTTCGCTGTTCGTAAAGGCGGTCTAACATATGTAGGGTTGAATTCCACCTTGTTGCAACGTCGCAGATCAGGCGATGCTGTGGAATTCCGTTCTGCCGCTGCAGCTCAAGGAGGGTGTGCTTTGCAGTGTAGGAATGGCTGAAATGCATGCAAAGTTTACGTGACATTTTAAGGATGTCTTGCAGTGGGATGGTGGATTTTAGGAACCGCTTGACAACCAGATTGAACACGTGAGCCATGCATGGCGCATGGCACAACCTTCCTTGACGCAGAGCAGACACCATGTTCTTTCCGTTGTCGGTCAACATGGTTCCGATTTTCAGTTTGCGCGGAGACAGCCATCTGTCGATTTCTCTGTTCATTACACTCAGAAGTTCCTCCCCTGTGTGACTACGTTCGCCAAGGCATACCAGGTGCAGCACAGCGTGACACACCGTTGCGCCCTGCACATGTGATATGCCGGTCGGGTAATGGGACTTGGCACGGGGGTGGCAGCTGAGGACACGGCGGAAGGAAGAGGTGGTAGAGGCGGACATCTTTGCTGGACCAAGGACGTGCAAACGTGGAGGCAAAAGCGGCGTGACCTGTCCAAGTTGCTGGTGCAGCTGTGCCGGCACCACGTTCACCCAGTGGGCCGTAAATGACATGTACTGTCCCTGACCGTAGTTACAGCTCCACACGTCGGCGCTGCCGTGCACTTTGGCAGAGACCGACATGCTCAAAGACTGGCCCCACATCTCTTCTACATGTGAATGCAGGGCTGGCACTGCCTTTTTGGCGAAGAAATGCCGGCTTGGCACTCTCCACCGCGGCTCGGCACAAGCCATCATTTCTCGGAAAGATGCTGAGTCCACCACTTGGAAAGGGAGGGACTGCAGCACCAGCAACTTGGACAGGAGGACGTTCAGCTTCTGCACCGTCCGGTGCGTGCTCGCAAACTGTTGTCTCTTGGAAACGGATTCCAAGAAAGACTGCTGACGGAATCCGTGAAGAGGAGTAGCAGAAGAAGGAGCATCTGAACGAGCGGAAGATGCCAACGAGCAACAACTCCCCTCAGCAGAGGTGTTGGAGCCTTGACTGGCTGATAGAGGGCGATTGACGTCGGGTGACGGAGCAAGTAACGGAGCGGGTGATGGAGCGGGGGCTGGGGCAGGCAGAACCGCCGTATCTTTATCACGGTTTTCCCAGGCCACCGAATGGCGACGCTGCATATGCTGACGCAACGCTGTAGTCCCAACATGGGCCCCCTGGCCACGCTTGACTTTTTTCTGGCCACATAGTCGACATACGGCTACGTTTACTTCCTCGGGCGGCTTGACGAAAAATTGCCACACCGCCGAGTAGGAAACTTTGCCCCCGATACTCCTCACTGGCTGACTGCTACTTCCTCCGTGCACACCGGCACCACTACTGGCCGTGGTGGTAGGCTGCAGTGGAGCTGGTGCTCTACTCCGTGGCCGTTTTTGCCTCCACTGACACTGCTGCGACCCTGCTGCCTCCTGGGCAACCCACCGACTGTTTTGCTCGCTGCCAAGCTGGCACCCTCTTCTCCTGATGATGCGGAAGCAATAGCCTGATGACGACGAGGCTGCCAAGTGCGATCAGCCTCATCATCATCAATTAGGGTCTCCGCCTCACTACTAGCCCCCTCGGCTGCGTGTGGGTCAGGAGACAGACCTGTCTCTAGACCGGCTACCGAGCCACTCTCCTCGCCAGTACTTCTTCGCCTGGCTGCTGAAGAGGCGGATGTCTCCCCCCGTTCCTGACCGCCCTCTGTTAGCTCTTCCTCACTGTACAGTGGGGCTGAGCCCACAGCATGCGATACTTCGCTTGGTGAGGGAACACCAAAGGACAGGGGCAGGTAGAGGACACGTGATTTCAGTGGGCTTGCTCCCGGGCCATGCCAACTAACGGTTTTGTGTCTGACGTACCCACCGACCGTTGGCTGTAGGTGTCAGAGGTGACCTGGGAAGAGGAAGACGACCAAGCCAACCAATCGATGACGGCAGGGGTTGTCGGTGGAGACACGACCGCTGGATGACAACCGGGAGCACTGGCCTCTGGCTGGACTAGTGGGGGGGGGGGGGGGGGGGGGGGGGGGGGGGGGGGGGGGGGGGGGGGGGGGGGGGGGGGGGGGGGGGGGGGGGGGGGGGGGGTGCTGCCTCGACCCCTTCCTCTGCTGCCACGTCTGCTCGCTCCTGAAACATTGCTTCCTCTGCCACTCCTCTGCGTGTTGTCTGACATACTCTTTAATTCAACGATTCTGTGTCCCTGAGTAACGATTCTGTGTCCCTGAGTAACGATTCTGTGTCCCTCAGTAACGATTCTGTGTCCCTCAGTAACAATTCTGTGTCCCTGAGTAACAATTCTGTGTCCCTGAGTAACAATTCTGTGTCCCTGAGTAACGATTCTGTGTCCCTGAGTAACGATTCTGTGTCCCTCAGTAACAATTCTGTGTCCCTGAGTAACAATTCTGTGTCCCTGAGTAACAATTCTGTGTCCCTGAGTAACGATTCTGTGTCCCTGAGTAACGATTCTGTGTCCCTGAGTAACAATTCTGTGTCTGTCCCTGAGTAACGATTCTGTGTCCCTGAGTAACGATTCTGTGTCCCTCAGTAACGATTCTGTGTCCCTGAGTAACAATTCTGTGTCCCTGAGTAACAATTCTGTGTCTGTCCCTGAGTAACAATTCTGTGTCCCTGAGTAACAATTCTGTGTCCCTCAGTAACAATTCTGTGTCCCTGAGTAACAATTCTGTGTCCCTCAGTAACGATTCTGTGTCCCTCAGTAACGATTCTGTGTCCCTGAGTAACGATTCTGTGTCCCTGAGTAACAATTCTGTGTCCCTGAGTAACAATTCTGTGTCCCTCAGTAACGATTCTGTGTCCCTGAGTAACAATTCTGTGTCCCTGAGTAACAATTCTGTGTCTGTCCCTGAGTAACAATTCTGTGTCCCTGAGTAACAATTCTGTGTCCCTGAGTAACGATTCTGTGTCCCCCAGTAACGATTCTGTGTCCCTGAGTAACAATTCTGTGTCCCTGAGTAACAATTCTGTGTCCCTCAGTAACGATTCTGTGTCCCTCAGTAACAATTCTGTGTCCCTGAGTAACAATTCTGTGTCCCTGAGTAACAATTCTGTGTCTGTCCCCTGAGTAACAATTCTGTGTCCCTGAGTAACGATTCTGTGTCCCTGAGTAACGATTCTGTGTCCCTGAGTAACAATTCTGTTTCCCTGAGTAACAATTCTGTGTCCCTGAGTAACGATTCTGTATCCCCTGAGTAACAATTCTGTGTCCCTGAGTAACGATTCTGTGTCCCTGAGTAACGATTCTGTGTCCCTGAGTAACAATTCTGTGTCCCTGAGTAACAATTCTGTGTCTGTCCCTGAGTAACAATTCTGTGTCCCTGAGTAACAATTCTGTGTCCCTGAGTAACGATTCTGTGTCCCTGAGTAACAATTCTGTGTTGTCCCTGAGTAACAATTCTGTGTCCCTGAGTAACAATTCTGTGTCTGTCCCTGAGTAACAATTCTGTGTCCCGGTCCCTGAGTAACAATTCTGTGTCCCTCAGTAACAATTCTGTGTCCCTGAGTAACAATTCTGTGTCCCTGAGTAACGATTCTGTGTCCCTCAGTAACAATTCTGTGTCCCTGAGTAACAATTCTGTGTCCCTGAGTAACAATTCTGTGTCTGTCCCTGAGTAACA